TTTGCATGCTGTAAGGATTCCTTTAGAGCTGTTTTAAAAATCAAAGGATATATTTTCATGTCTTTGAGAGCAAAGATCAAATAGATGACACCAGCTAGAAAATGTAGTGTGTGTGTGTACACGTACCTGTGTGCCCAATGAACCACTTGACCAGGGTTACAGATAAGGTAATAGGAGAAAACGGTGGATATCTAAATTACATTAATGTAATATCTACATATCATCTACCACAATTCTGTCATCACATTATAAATGCTAACTTTTCCATTTTTATTAGTAATCTTTGATCCTTTATTTTCTTTTTCATCCAACTAAAACAACCATTAATGCACTTGATAACTTTCTGTCAAGTTCAAAAGTATTTAGCCACAATCCAAAGTTTCTTTCCTTCTTTCTGCCCTGTTATCCAAGCTGAAATGCTACAGAACTTTAATTTGCTCAGAGCTACGAGTGAGGAAAGATCGTGAAAGCTGAGTTGATCTGAGGCAACCACAACACACCGCTCCTTCTGGGAAGATTACCTGACATTTTCTTAAAGAATCTAATAAATCTCTTCCTCCCTTCTGCCCGTTTTGTTGTTGTTATTGGTGGGGGTTTTGTGTTTTTGGGTTTGTTTGTTTTTTACTTTCTGCCCTGGTTTTTTTGTTTGTTTGTTTTATACTTTCTCACCCCCACCTCCATTAACTTGTGTGGTTTTCTACCTATAATAATTTATCAGTTCATGTCTCCATTATTTGGGGGTTCTGGATGTTTTGTGAATTTCCACAGAGTATTTGTATGGGTGAAGCATGTAATTTGTTACACATTGTTATAAGCATCGGCAGTAGGGGTGTGTGTCTTTAGGGTGAGAATATTAGGCAGAGTGTATGACTGTATGTGTAGGTGAGTATGAACATGGAGAGTTAATGCAAAAATGTTTCTATACTGTTACAGCTCAGAGGGGGTTGAGAATCTTTAACACCACTCTGTCTATATTTGGAAAACGATTCTCATTTCCCTGTTTTTACCCTGCCTCTAGCTGACTTCACGCAACAGTGTGAAATGCCTCTGAGAGGGAGGGAATGCATTAGCTCAGGGATGATTCTAAACCCATGAATGAGCTCTGGGCTGGGGGTGCCCCTCACACTAGAGAATGTGGCAAAGACCGGAGCAGATACACAAACATACACGAGAAGAACCACGTCACAGAGTCCGAAATCAAGATACTCCATTTGCTGGGGTTGGTTTCTCTTTGGCTTGGAGCCAAGAGAAGTATGAGTAAGTCTGCCCTAACTAGATAGGCAAAGCATTTGGGTCTCTACAGCTGTATCCCGAAAAATGTGAGTGGGACTTACCGATGGTGGTTTGTTCTTGGGTTGAAAGAACTGTCAAAAGAGATAAAGTCCATTATTATCACCAACTGGTGTGACACTTGAGAACAGTATAAACAATATTTGTAAGTAAAAGAACTAGCCCTAAGCATTGGGATGTGTTCAGTACGTACCAAACTGGGAGGGAGACTTGTAGGGGGTGCTCCTTCCAGCAGCTTCCATGTGGTAGACGTTCCAAGGGGATCAGGGTCCTGTCTTACTCAGTTCAGCACTGCCAGCCCCCGCGGTGTCTGACCTGTGCTACACGAATGAATGCACACTCGCTAAGCTAGCTTATTCCCTCAAGTTTCTGAGAAATCTTCGGATGGACCCTGTTACCTGTTCTCACTCTCCATCAGCTGTTGGCAAGGAGGCAATTAGGAGGAAACACCCCTAAGATCCAAGCCAGAGAAGGAATGCAGGGCCAGAGGAGGGCACACACCAGGGATATCAGCTCTGGCTTTTTGCCCTCTGTCTGATCGTGGGCGGGAAGAGCATTACATATTTAGCACCTTGCATCATGGGATGCTCCCTGCAAGGAGATGCCTGTCAGGCAGCATTAGAGATTCATAAGGGTTTGGAAGCAGGCTGTCTCCATAGCTGGGGGAGTGGGTTTGTACTGCTGCCCGGAGCTCACTGTGTGCATGTATCACGTTCCCTGAGCTTTACCTACTTAAATCGCTAAGCATCCTACCACATTTCTCCCATTTTAATCAAGTAAGGCAAGCTGCAAGGTAGCGACATAGGTGGGGGGAAAAGCTTGCTCTACGGTTGGAAGAAATAAGACTCATACTTTTTAAGAAAAAAAGGCTGTAATAATTCTGTGGGCACTGACTTATTTATGTCATCGGAGATGTAAAGACGACTCCTGTGAACTACGGGAGGAGCCACGGCTACTCCCCAGTGCAGTACAAACGTCTGCAATCACAAGTCATTTCTCTGCCCATTGCTTTCATTCCAGGGAACAGCCTCTTCCAAAAAAGAGGATGGTTTTGAAAGTAGGATTTCCTGACTTTTGCCCAAGGTGGGGGGGGGGGGGGGTGGCAGCGAGGGTTTGATTTATCCAGCTCTGATCACTTCACTCTGTATTACATTTTAGGAACTAGAGAGCAGTAGGTAGAACAGCGAAAAGACATTAGCAAGTACTCAAATTTTGAGCTGTGTAAATATCAAACATCAGCTTCCAGCCCGCGGAGCTATCGTACAGAGTGAAGGAGGAGAGGGAGACTTCGTGAATAAAATGTCTTGCCAAACAAACCGAACGAGTCTTTTTACCGTGATTTCTGATAAAGAGCAATTTTCTTCCTTCTGAAACAACTCGTCGAACTGGGTTTTATCTCGAATGGTGCAATCACTGTTTCCTAATAAAAGTGATCCGTTTCCTGCAGGTGTTCCCAATCACCATTACCTGTCAAGTGCCCGTGGGCAGCTTCCGGAGCTCCCCAGCTTGGCCTTGCGGGCGGTGCCGGTGCACTTCACCGCAAACGATGACAAGCAACCGGTCCTCCCAGCGCCCAGCAGCCCGATCAATCACAAACCCCTTTGCAGGCGCAGGCCCGCTTCTACCTCAGACATTTACAGAGGGCTTAGAGGTTTGGGGCAGCCAATCTCTCAAAACCTCTTTGCCTTAATAGAAGCAGTGACTTTTGTAGTACTGCAGTGGTATCGCTAGTCTTGCTTTTAAAGGAAGCCCCTTTCAAAGCCGTTTACCACACCCAGTCTATTTGAACCGTATCATCCAGTGGGCCACAGGTCCGGACACTGAAAGGAAAAAAACAAATGAGACATTTTGCACTGAATATAGCATCATTAAAACGAATCTCTTTAAAACTCACGGCACAGCTTTCTCAGAACGGAGCCCGCTATTCTTCAACTGTCCCGAGACCCTAACTGCAGCTGGGATGGTCCCGGCTGCTCCGAGCCCCTCGCTGCCTTCATAGGCAGGAAGGGGTGGAGAACTCGAGATGCTGTGAACCGCATGCCTAAGAAAAGTACAGAGCCCTTTGGGAGACTAAATGAAACCGTGGTTTAGTGCAGGTCTTGAGCAAACGGCATCCTCTCACCGCTGGAGCAGTTGCTGCCCAGCACCCGGTGGCTGCACTGCCAGCTGCAAGCACAACTGCGTCACAGCAGCATCTCCCCGAGGTGGCCCTCAGCCAGAGCTCAAGCACGTAGGCCAGTGGTTCTCAACCTGTGGGTCGCCAACCTGTGGGTCTCGACCCCTTTGGGGGGCCAACGACCCTTTCACAGGGGGCGCCTAATAACATCGGAAAACACATATATAATTACATATTGTTTTTGTGATTGATCACTATGCTTTAATTATGTTCAATTTGTAACAATGAAATTGGGGGTCACCACAACATGAGGAACTGTATTAAAGGGTCGCGGCATTAGGAAGGTTGAGAACCACTGACGTAGGTGTTGTCAGGAAAAGATCGATTTCTCTGCCCCCAACTTCATTCAGCATGGGAGCCACGATCAGAAATGAGCACGGGTGGGTGAATTGAGTGGGCACTCAATGTCGAAAGTCCTCTTGAACAGAAAAGAGAGCGCATCTGGCCATGCAAGTATTTAATTCTCCAAGCTTTTCAGTGATGTGCAAATTAACAAAGTCATCCCATCGTTAAAGTGAAGTTACGTTCGTGTCTGATTGTTTCTTAACCAGCACTTCAAGGCCGTAGCATCTGGCGTCATTACCGTGTGTGACTGGCTGCCGCACAGATGCGAGCTGCAGCTAAGGAAACAGCTGACGATAATTACTGGAGTTTTGCTATTTCCTATAATGGCTTCAAATGAAGTTTACTGCATGAGTACATTCCTCTCATGCAGGTCATTCATCTGTATCGATTTCCCATAATCTTTAACCTTGTTTAAATAATGGGCTTTAATTCCAGCAATTAAATGGGGTGACACAGTAGTAATAGTAAATGTACATTTACCATGTATGAGGCACTTTGCTTGGCTTATATGTTGATTTATTTAATCCTATGACAAATCATTGAAGTTAGAAAATTATCATTTCACAGGTAAGAAAACTGAGGCACAGAGGAGCTAACTTGCCTCCTTACTCATGTGTTGGAACTGGGATTTGAACCCATGAAGACTGATTCCAGAACCCGCACTGTAATCACTGCACTGTGCCACCTCTAGAGTCTCAGTCAGAGGTTGTAGGATCTTCCTGTGCCCTGCCTCCCTGCTTGGTGCAGACACATGCTGTGTCAACAGTCTTGAGTCTGTTTGATCTTTTTACCATTATGGTACATGTGTCTTTGAATTCCTATCCTATTCCCTACCATTCCTCTAAGACAGTGGTTCTCAACCTTCCTAATGCCGCGATCCTTTAATACAGTTCCTCATGTTGTGGTGACCCCCAATTTCATTGTTACAAATTGAACATAATTAAAGCATAGTGATTAATCACAAAAACAATATGTAATTACATATGTGTTTTCCGATGGTCTTAGGCGACCCCTGTGAAAGGGTCGTTCGACCCCCAAAGGGGTATCAACCCACAGGTTGAGAACTGCTGCTCTAAGAGCTCATGATCTGTAGTTCAATACAAGCAAGAAGAAAATAAAACTGAGAAAGGAGCAAACCAGGACTCTGAAACGATCCTGGACCTTCTATGTTCACACCCAAATGTACCCGCTATTCCTGGGTCCGCAGCACACGGCTTTCAGGTTATGAGCAGCATCATGTAGCAGTGCAGAAACCTAGGTAATGAAATCACACAGCCTTTATCAACGATTTGCTTAAGTAGCTGTACTTTACAGAATGTTTAATGTACGTGTTAACCGTTCTTTTAGTCTCTTCACGTTCTGTCTCGGAAAACTTAAATTATATTATCTTGTCTACCCTGAGAAATGCCATCCCTGAATTATACTTTGATAAGAAGCCTACAACCATTATATAAAGATATCATTACAAGAGTTGTCATTGCCAATGATTCAGTATCTTCGGCACAAATGGTGTTGAATGCATTATCCATTACCCACCGGATTGCCTGATATCCCCCTTCTGAGCAAGAACCACTGGTACGGTATTGCTCAAACTTTGCTTCTAGAAAACATTTGTCTCTGCAGATGTGCCTGCGCATGTAATTTTGTCAGAAAATGAAAATGTAACTGTCATCCCTTGGATACTCATTTTATCAGGATTAAGTTTAATGACATGTAATAGAAACCCAAACTATGGTAACGTAGCCTAATGGTTTATCTTTCACGAGGTAGGCAGATTGGGGCCGGTGCAGCCACCCAGGGAAGTCATCACGGAAACCAAGTGAAAGCTGCCAAAAGGTGGCACGTTTACAAAAGGCCACGCGCCTTCCCACTGCAGTGTCTGCCTTCCACGTCACATGACACATGTCCCCTGAGGAACCTCTCTCAGAACACTGCCGGCCAAGATTCTGGGCAGTGCAGACTCCGAGACTCTCAAACCCCTTGGACTACTCAACAACAATATTTAACCTTCAGACGAACGATTTGAGCTGAGGATTCTAATATCCTGATTTGGGGGCTGAATATGTAGACCCTTCTGCAATTTGGTCTCTGACCTGTTCTGTTTTGTGCCTTAAACTCTGAATCGGTCTACCTGACCGCATTTCCGTTTCACCACAAGACTTGTTTTACTAGTTTGCTTTGCAGACACCAAGGGACATGGAGGTGTGGCCTGCCTGGTGACCCCTCGCCCCCTGCTGACCATGTCTTAGGACTCCCACGGTTGGCCAGGTACTGTGACCACCTGCTGACCACCAGTCAACTGAAACCACTCGTTGTTCTTATCTCACAACCCTACTTGCTGGTGACTGAGTCAGCCAACTTGTGAAAGTCACTTGCCCCCTCCAATCGGAAAAATGCATGATGTATGTCTATGATCTTGTTTCCCTAGCAACCCATCAGCTTCTTGCAACTCTCACTTTTAAAACCTTTGTCTTATTTTTCCCACCTCGGAGCTGGTATTCGGCTCATCCGGAAGGCTACATTCTCAGATTTGCAAATCATCAGAATCAAACTCTCGTTAATTCCTCAGAAGAGTCCTGTGGAACTTCTGTTTACAGAGTAAAACACCATGCTTCCGCATACGATGATGTGATGTTTCTTCCTACAAATGAACATGCTACCATTCTTTCCCCTTAAGTCACCATATTTATCTCTGTTTCAGCTCCAATTCCCCTTTGAGATCCTGTAGCCCAGTGATTCCCAAAGTGGGCGCTACCGCCCCCTGGTGGGCACTGCAGCGATCCAGGGGGGCGGTGATGGCCACAGGTGCATTTGTTTTAACTTTTTTTGTATTACTTTTCTATTCTGAGTTCAAGAAATAGTTTCATAATTTCAAACTTCAATGTTTCTAATTTACACCTTTCTTTACTATATTTTACGAAAAAGGTAGAAACATTAATACATATATCTTTCTGTTTAATTGCTATTAAAATTTTTAAAAAATTAATTTCCAGGGGGCGCTGAGTAATATTTTTTCTGGAAAGGGGGCGGTAGGCCAAATAAGTTTGGGAACCACTGCTGTAGCCTGAAGCCAAAATTTACACGGTCACCACCATACATCTTATATAAAAGGAAAAGGGTGGTGGGATTTGTTGCTGATAATCAAATTAATTTGCTAATGTTAACATACCAATATATTCATAACAATGCAAGGAGCAAAATATGCAGGCTGGTTAATAGTCCTTATTTTAGCGACTGTCCCTGCGGCCATCGTTGGTATTTGTCACCTTCTCATCCCATTCCTCATACTCTGTTCGCTTTGTCTCTGCCAGCTACTCGGCTGGTCAAGAATCTACCCAGTGGGATGACCCAAGCCTTCTCCCTGAAGCGTCTGACCCCTGCCTGCCTGCCTGGTCCCTGCAGTGTGGCAGGACCATCGGGTCCAACGCCCCCAGCAACAGCAGCAGTCCTCTTTGCTGTTGCTTCAGTGGCATAAGAACTGCCCCCTCTGTTGAACCTCTGCTGATCCCTTGCTGAAAGCATTCCTACCTTGGAACCTAAAATTTCTAGACCAGCAGCATCTGAACAAGAAACAAACATTCTGCAGGTGGGTTGTTAGGGGTAATGGTGTGAATCTACTCATGTCTGCCTCCTAATTCTTAGACCCGTTTCTCTCCTGTGGGTGCAAAGGGCCCCTAAAACGTCTTGGACAGCAGGTTTGCACTGCTCTTCCGGGATACGGAAGGATGTGCCCACTTACCTAGGTCCCTCTTCCTGGCTGCCCCACAAGCAGCCAGTTCTCAGGTGTTCGTTACCGGCTTAGACCAACTTAAGAGACAAAGGGCTGGCCCAGCTTCTTCCTCAAACACTCAAACCAGGAAAACACACACATTTGCCTTGTCTCTGGTGTAAATAAACCCCGAAAGCTACATTTTTTTCTTTCTCTTTTGAAGACTCCCCAGTTCCCCCGCCCCCACTCTCCGTTGGCAGGCCAATTTTAATGTGTTAAACTTAGGAGGAGATGTCATCAAAAGGAGAAAAACAGGTGGGGAAGAAAGAGATGAAAACACTCTGACAATTCACTCCTGTTTTGCAGCTGTGAGAGCTGCAGATTTGAATTGTGTTACCTCCCTCCCCAAGTTAATTAATTCTCTTTTTTATAAAAACAGCAACAAAGAAACCCCACATCTCTTTCCTTCAATCAGTGTCAACAGCCAATTACAGTCTTTCATCACCCAAAGTGTAATAACACATGTTATCACGGGAGAAAACAGTTGGACTGACAAGATGAGCAATTCGCTCCTTTCTTAATCTTGTAATCACATGGTATGCAGCAGTTTACAATAACAGGCACCCAAGCTTGGCAGTAAATTACCCGTAAAGACTGTATGCAAATTCCCCATCATGGCACATTTGCCTTTGGCACAGAAGCGCGTGTCTTCCTGCAGGAGACACGGAAAGAATTAAGAGAAACTCCTGAGAGAGCCTTCTCCTCCTCCGTTAACCACTGCAGAAGGCTGTTAATTAGGTAAAGAGCATACTTGGTAGACGACGTAACCATGACTGGCATTTAGGGGCAGCAGAAAACCCAGGCAGGTGACATGACAGAAGGTATTTCGCCAATGCTGCCACATGCTGGAAGACAAAAGGCCTCCTGCCTTATGGGCATCAAATATGTGCTGATATGATTTGGGTTTTTTCCCTAACGTCTTTGCTAAGCTCAGCTTTGTTTTCCGTGCTCAAAACCACATTCCCCCCACGCTGGAGAGTGTGAGTGTAGTGGGTATCAATCTTAGATCACAAACTGAATTGTGAAGGGATTCCACATATAATTGACAGGAAAAAAATTGACAATAGAGCTACCATACGACCCTCTTCTGGGTTATCTACCCCAAAATGTTGAAAACACTTATTCATAAAAAATATATGTACCCCTATGTTCATTGTAGCATTATTCCCAATAGCCAAGACATGCAAATAACCTTTGACAGATGACTGGATAAAGAAGTGTACATATATACAATGGACTACTCCTCGGCCATAAAAATATTGCCATTTGCAACGACCTGGATGGATCTTGAGAGTTTTGTGCTAGGTGAAATAAGTCAGAGGGTAAAGGACAAGAACTCATGTGGGATATAAAACAAAAAGCAACAAATGAACAAACAAAACAAATAAACACATAAAAATAAACTTGTAGATACAGACAACAAAATGCTGAATCTTCCTTAATTTGCCCAAATGTAATCACTGTAGATGATTTGTGGAAGACACGACGGAGGCCAGCATTGCTTAGTGCCTTATGCTTGACAATCTCCCATCAAGAGTGAATAAAACACATATATCTATTTCAAATCAAAGACACAGACACTCTGCTGTGTACACGGCGTGTTGCGTTCATTTCACACATCTAAGGCAAAGATCCAACAGACACTTCACTGTGAATGTCTATAAAGGTGCTGGTGAAAAGTGTATTAAATGTCTCTGTCATTTCCAGTACCCAGAATGCTGTTGGTGGATGTGGCTGGTGTGGCATGCCAACCACTAGCTTTGCAAGCAGGAATATATGATAATGAAATTTCAGAACACATGATCAATGATAAGTTATTGATAACAAGCTATGAAGGATTAGAATTCTTACTATTTTTATGTGCATTATTTCAATTAATTGTTGAGTACCACAATTCACAAGCACTGTGCTGAACTATAGAAATATCAAGCTGAAAAAATGTCATACTAATTCCAAGGTGCTTGTGGTATAATGTGGTAATCAGACTCATTGGTGATTCCAATCACCCAAGGTAACTACTGAAAAATACTGGTATGTTTCTTTCTAGTTTCCTCTATGCCTACCAACCATGTACCAAAATTAGGATCATGCTGTTTTATTTAGTTAACAATGTCTCGTATGCATTTCTTATAATCTTCAAAAACGTGAGTTTTAATGACTTCATGGCATTCTGTTATGTGAATGTTCCACAATTGTTACCAAAAATTCATTACTGTTGAATACTTAACCTTTGAAGTTTCCAAACTTACTTTAGCATAGTGATTGCATGAACATCCTTGTCTATAACTGTGTCTACACTAATCAGATTTCTTTCTTAGAATACATCCTGAGAAGTAGATTTACTGGTCCAGAGGCTATGAGCAGTTTTAGACTCTTACAGACACGTGACCAATTGTTGTGGATCTATCCTTCACAGGATTCATTAGGCAAGTGTTTTTTCATTCATTAGCAAGTCACTATGTGCCAGCTGTGGTGCTCCAGCACGAGGGAGACATTGGTGAGCAAACCCAGCAGGGCCTCTCTCTGTACAGAGCTTGTAATCGACTAGAAGATAATCTAGATCTAACCTGAGAACAAGAATCTTTGTAGATTTAATGTTAAATTTTATGCAGAATTAAGAGACGTGGCCAAGGAAGAAATAGAAATAAAATTAAAATTTTGACTCTCAGAATACCATTTATGCAAATAATTCCAACAAATGGTATTACAATTTGCCAAGCATTACAGCTCCTCTCAAATGACCCATAAATTATGTGTGTAGTTAGTTAAGGTTATGGGGGGACATTAGAAATTGCCATGGTTTGGAATGACATGGATGGGTTCCTATCCTGTTACAAACACATGGACATTTGGGGGGAAAGGGTAACAAGGAAGGGAGGGAAGAAGGGAAGCAGAAAGGAGGAAAATTAAGCTGTAAACTAGGAGAACATATTTGTAATATACATAGAACCCCTAAAATAAAAAAGGAAAAGACAACTGAATAGAACAGGCAAAAAAAAAAGATACAGTATTTCACAGAATAAAAACACCCAATGGCCACTAGACATGAAAGGATGCTCACTTTCATTAATAATTAGGGAAGTGCATCTAAAAACCTGAGTGAAGCATAACCAATGGACATAAGACACTGGGGGGTAGGGGAGGCCAGGGGATTGTCAAGGGTGGGGGAAAAAGGAGACATATGTAATACCCTTTGTAATACCTTAAGCAATAAAAAAATAAAAATAAAAAATAAAATAAAATGGGGAAAAAATAAATAAATAAAAACCTGAGTGATGTATCATGTTACATTCATCAGATAGGCTGCTATGAAGTCAGGAAATAGCAAGTATGGACAGGGAGTATGTCAAAGGGGCTTTTTATATAGTGCTCTGGAGTGCAAATCGGTACAGCCAATTGGAAGATAATTAGACGTTACCTTTTAAAGCCACAAATGTGTCTATCCTGCAACAGAAATGCCACTCCTGGTTGTACCCATAGAGCAGCGCTTGTACACGGGCACCAGCAGACACACCAAGACTGTTCACAAGTGCTGCTCTCGCTCTGCAAAAGGGAAAAGACCAAAATTGACATTGACAAAGGAGAATGGAAAGTGGGAAAGGAAGGCATGAACTATAGCTTCACCTGCCACCAAAGAGGAATCTCAAAAACATAATATGAGAGAACTAAATAAACAAACAAACAAACAAATAAATAATAAAACAAGCAGGATTTTCTCCAAAACAAAATAAAACAAAAAAACATACTGTTGAATGTAAAAAGTACATCAGAAGACAACAGACAACGATAGCATTTTCACAAAGCTCAACATCAAACAATGCATACTATTAAAACACACACACACACACACACACACACACACACACTAACAACAAACTGGAAACGCAGAACTGTGGTCACCTCTGCCCTCCCAGGGCTTCCCTTTCATAAGGGGAAACACACAATAAAGAAGATAAATAATTAAAATAATGTTAGATGGGGAAACATGCTCTAGAGAGGAATAAAGCCGGGAGGGGCTGAGTCCTGGGTGGAGTGGGGTGTGGCTCTGGACAGAGATTGACACAGGATGATTGGGGAAGGCGTGAGACAGCGATGTGCTAGCGAGACCTGGGAAGGTGAGGAAGTGGGCCATGCAGTTACCTCAGGACAGAGCGCCCGGGACCGAGTCAGGGGAAGTGCACACACTCTCCTGGTGGCTTCATTTCCTGTGTGAAGGTCACCTCAACGCTGGTACGTTGGAACCAACCAGAATCTTGAACTTCAAGTTACTGCGCCTTTCTTGTCTTTCTTTTTCCTTCTTTCATCTGGCTTTCTGAATCACATATTAATTGGGTTTTTAAGGACCTGAGCCAAGAACAAGCAAGTGGAGTTATTATTTAGGTAAATGTAATGATCCAAGCAAAATCTCCATTTGTCAGAATTCTGAGCTAGAGCAGGGATTTTGCTACAATTTTCAAGTACCACAATTTCAGGGGGAAAACAGATTGTATCTCAGTTCCTAAGCCCAATGATCCAGTAAATATACAATATACTCCACAGTGGCAATGGAGAATATTTTTGACTTTGTAATTGGTGGGAAGTACCATTTCTTACAGGAGTTAGAGAATGAGAGGCGTGCATTAGGATAATAAATTTTCAAGAGAACCTCATAAACTAGGGTGAAAATCAGATTGGGAGCTTTAGTGTCTGGGGTTCTAATTTAACAAGCTGTGGAATTCACCTCATCAAATTGTAAATTCCTCTCTTATGCCATCAACTGCCTGGATTAATAAAAACCTGGAGCTTTTCACAAGTTAAATATGAAACTGCAGACCTTTCTCCTTAAATGCAAGCAAGACATGACCTTAGCTGGGCCTCTTTGATTTGATGGAGGCATTCTGATGAGTGGATCAAATTGCTCTCATTTTTCATAGTGCTTGTCCTACAAACTTTCTGCATCTGCTTTTTTAAAACAGCAATATCGTTGATTCTGTCTGGTGCTGGGCAGATTGTTACACCAAAGCACTGTTCTTCCTATGCTAATTTCATCGTCTTTGTAAACAACGCCCTTTGCTATCCTAGATTTTGGGATTGGGGTGTTTTCATTAACCAGGTACTTTTAAGGAAGAGTTTTTTCACATGACCACTTTTCAAAAAAGTATGAAAACAATAACATACAATGTTTAGGCGTTTGGAGATCTGAGCGGCATATATTCAACTATGCAGCGTCTCACCAACACGGTTTAAGGGGTTTGCTGTGGTTGGGGAGAAGAGAGGGCATAATTCTCTGGGTACCCTCACACCTCTTCTCCCCACAGGGACTCTGCTTGGGCCCTGTACTGTGAGCAAACCACGGTGCACAGAATTCTGTTCCCTAGCTTTCAACCACAGCCTGGTTTTCATTGTTTCACCATTTCTCTTTTCGTTTTTGGTTTTTCTAAGGAGATAAATATGTATATATAAATATATTAAAAAGAGAAACATATACGTGTGTGTGTGTTATGTGCAGAGGTATATATTGTTTTAGCGAGTTTTTCTCACTCTATTTTTATTGTTTTGTTTTCTAAGTATAGTCTTGTCTTATTTTAAAATTTATTTACTCTTCAGGCCCTCTGTTTCGTCTTTTAAGATTTATCATTGCATTTCTTAGAGTAACACTTTTAAATACTTTTTTTGAAATTTCAGTTCTTTTAGTGCCAAATGCTTTTCACATAAGTTCTAAATGGAAGCTTCTTACACTGTGGTATCTCTTCCTTTTTAATTTGAGTTTTTATTTTATTTATTATCAAGGTTGATTTCTTGGTCCTGAAATTCTTATTCTTCAGCTTGTATGTTATTAATGTTTAAATCCTTCTATATTTAAGTTATCCCGTTTCTCACATTGTATAAGCCCACACACAGAGTGGTCATATAAACAGTCACCTGCACTAGGACGCTCTGGAGGGGTGACAGGAGCTCTGCCAGTAGCTTCGCTGGGACTACGGGCATAAGCGGGGACGGCCCCAGGCAAGCTGTGTGCTGACCGCCTGACCCGCCAGGGAAGTCTAGGTCTTCCCCCTCCCAGGCACCAGGAAGCGCAGTGGCATTTCCGGTGTCCCTAACAGACCCTTCATATCTTCCAAAGCCTGCCTTGCCCAAAATACCTACACAAACAGCCACGTTAGCTGAGCATTTATCATTTGACGAACACTTTATGTGGACGACTCTGGGGGGACTAGGCTGTGAGCCTCCCTGTAGGTAGATGTCGCCTCTTCCCAAGCTGGGCTGGTGCAGCTGCCCACAGCCGCCTGGCCTGGGCTTCCGATGCTCCAACGGGGTGGTTTCCTATGTCCCACCTGCAGGTTCGGGGTGGCCCGGACAACAGCGGGGAGACTGCTACACAGGAGGGAAAGGTCAGAGGGAGGGGCTGCTAGCATTGATCTCTCAATAGTCCCGGCCAGACTTGGCCAGGAAAACACAGAACCCCAGGGCGGGGCCCTGCAGGGGACCCTGGCAGGCTGTGCGCTTGTTCTCTCCCTGCCTCTCTCTGCACAGTATGTTGTTTTTTAAAAAAATATATTTTTATTGATTTTTTTACAGAGAGGAAGGGAGAGGGATAGAGAGCCAGAAACACTGATGAGAGAGAAACATCAATCAGCTGCCTCCTGCACACCCTCTACTGGGGATGTGCCCGCAACCAAGGTACATGCCCTTGACTGGAATTGAACCTGGGACCCTTCGGTCTGCAGGCCGACGCTCTATCCACTGAGCCAAACCGGTCAGGGCTGCACATTATGTTTATTTGTGGTTTAATAACTGCCACGCATCCCAAACGGAAACCACCCCCACACGCCATGATATTTTGAATTTACTTGTGGCTACAGATGCTTAGGGCGTACGGAGGCTCAACTCTATTATCTCGGTAACAAAGGCGTTTCCTGGTACATGCAGCTCTTTCCCTCATTATGAGGGACTTAGAGAAGAAGGCATGCTTTTAAAATGGAAGGTCCATATGTCTGCTGAACACCTTCTTCGCCAGAACCCAGCCAGCCAGCCATGGCCTCCTGGATTGCCAGAACTTCTGAGGGACTATTCCAACCTCTCCACACAGGCCTCGGTTGCCCCCGAGGAAAGCCGGTCTCTTAGAATAATGATCACGACCGAGCTGTATTGAACCTCAAATGTTATAAATTGAAATATACACCATCATTCAATATCCTACCCAGAAAGAAAAACAACGCTGCCAAAGTGACTGTGGCACGCCATCCATTTCTCAGTGTGCCCGCTTTTAAACATATGAAAATGTGACTCTCAGAACTGACAGAGTGCTTTCTTTTCCTTTAATTTTCCGCTGCTTGACTATTAATTTTCTCCCAAGACCCACCGCAGCGGGTCTGGAGACCTGCCTGCTGCTGCTCAGCCTGATTCATTACGTACCCTCCCTCCCTCCCTCCCCACTCCGACGCCTGTGAAATGACATCTCCATCAGTCCCTCCATGAGTGAACCTAGCAGTTGAAATACTGAAGAGGCGAGGAGAGGAAATTGCCTAAGGTCAGACTCCCAGCAAATGCCTGAATCAGAATTTGAACTCAGATATTCGGACAGCAGTCTCACACAGTGAATCATTATGTTATAGTGCCTCCCTACCTTTACTTAGACAGGGCCTCTCAAGCATTTCCTTTTTTGAAGGACATTTAAAAAAATCAGCCGTGTCAAACTCAACTGCAGTTACTGTCTGTAAGGTATTGAGAATGTGGGCCAGACATTCCTACAGCGCCCTCCTTGGGAGAACGGGACAAAAACGTCTCGGGGTCCTGGCCAGGTAGTTCCGTTTGTTGTCCAGACACATCAAGATTGGGGGTTCAATCCCCAGTCGCAGCTCATAAAAGCAACCAACGAATGAATAAGTGAAACCACAAATCGATGTTTCTCTCTCTCTCACTCTTTCTCAAATCAATCAATAAAATTTTTTAAAAATGTCCCCCAAAGTCTCATTAATCAAGAGAAGCTGTACTGTTCCGGGCCAACCATTTGCCTTTACCTTAAGGTCGCCATGAATCTGGACACTGTGGAATTGACCATGTTTGCATTTTTACTCTGACTCCCAGGAAGCCTAATTTTGTGACCCACCTCTAACAACGAGAGCTTTCACTTTATATATTAAACATGACCTTTGTTTCTTTGCTCCAATATCCTTACTTTTCCATGTTTTATCTGATTGAATTGAATACACCACTGTAAGTGTCCTTGAACCTGTTTGGAATGGAGTGGTATAACCTACATATACATAGATGCAGACATACATCTTTATGAACTTTTGAAAATTTAGTGCTTTCTAGAAATTGAAATGCAGCATGTTAGCATCTACCTATCCTAGCTCCCCATTCAAACATTTATGAAAGGCAAAAAATAAAATAAAATAAAAATCCAAAGAAATTATAAAATTCAAATAAAACAACAATAACAAAATAACTGGCACTAGGAATGAAATCTAAAGTTAAGTCCAATGCCAAGTCTTGGTATAGCCCCTGAGCACAGCATCCTGGGAGAGTAGACAGAAAATATACCCTGGAATAGCAGAATATATGTTTTCAACAAATGTTAAAAAATTCAGTCACCTCTCACCTCATCTGTCTACTAGAATAAGAAATCAAACAGATTCCTACATTACTGTAGAACTATTTTCTGAAATGCTCCCCTCCCCTCACTTTCCCTTTGGGCTTTTAGATTAAGAATTTGACAGTGAGAAAGCAATCATGTAAAAGAATTGGTAGTAAACACTGAAACTACTGAAAAACCCAGAGAGAAATAAAACAACATAACTACTGAGTATGAAGCCAAAAGAGGGGTAGGGGGGAGTCCCATAAACTGAGCCTATAATTCCTAATTAAATTTATAATTGTTAAAACTGGAAAGGCAGGGAGAAATAAAAGCATTTTAAATTCCATGATATACATCAGAGTAGGGAAAAATATATCTTCCAAATCACTGTAAATGAAAAGAGCAAATATATACAAAAGACATAAACCAGTCAGTGAAACAGCTGTTTTTTACAGTCTCTAACTCACCACAAAATATAAACAAAATGACAGAAATAGGACTGAACTCATCAGTATTAAAACAAAATAAAGATCGTTTTGCTCTACCACTGAAGTTAGACTGAGTTAGAGAAGAAATCCAACTACGTCTCTTACAACAGTGAGACCAAAATCAAATTACATAGAAAGAATAAGATCAGAAGGATAGAACAAAATGTCAGGCAAACAAAAATAAGCAGAGGTGGCACTGATCTTATCAAAGGAAAAGTTCAAGGCCCTTTTATATTGCAGCAAAGTGAAATCCATATCTATGTTATAATAGTCCTGGGCATTTATGAGCTGATTAACATAACATCAAAATTTATAAAGCAGCTGTAACCGGTTTGGCTCAGTGGAGAGAGCGTCGGCCTTCGGACTGAAGG